ATTTTACATCCCTTGTAGTTTTATGAACTTTACACATTTGAAAGTAATATAAATTTGCTAATCAAAATTTTCAAAGGTGAGGGACAAATTTATTTAGCTAAGCTGCAATAAATTCCAATTAATTGTTCATTCAGATTTGTTCTGACACATTATACATCATATATAGTAACATACATACCTTATAAGCATGGAATCAGAATGTGTGTCAGCAGAGTTTTGTTGTTGAGGACTGGTGGACAGATTTTGTTGCTGGTTACTCTGTGTTGTGTGTTTTATGGCCACAGGTTGAGTGTGGGTATGCTTCAGAGTCTGCAAGGATGACAGACACAATACTTAATAGCCATTCTCTGTAACCACTTAAACTTCGTTGCCACGCATGGTCACCGATTTTGATGAAACTTCACCCATGCTTAGTACTTGACACCAGAAACAAATATCAAACGAAATTTCGTTGCTATGTGTCTCGGTTGCTATGGCAACAGCCGGAAAAGTTGGAAAAATCGGGATTTTCAGCCATTTTAAATTTTGACTGTGGCTGAATAAAAACTACAAAAAGCAAACAAACCATTCTAACAAAAACATGACACCTTGATGTCACTTATGCTGTAAAGAAACTGTTTAGAATATATCTCTAAGTAAGTGGTAACCAAGGGTACATTTGGAATACATTTAAAATGCTGAAATATGCTGAAAAACACTCCGTATTCACTAATGGTAGGTGTTACATGCTCAAACTCAATCAACGACCTTAGAAAAACGATGAAAATGTTTGACCTTAAGTATATAAGTATAAGCAATATCATTCTATAAATAACTTTTATGGTTGCCATGGTAACACAGTGTAACCATGCAAAACCAGTAACTAAGATTGGTTTAATGCTACTGTCTTGAGGAAAAACAGGAAAATTCAAGACTGGTAAATATGCACCCTTAGGACCTTGCAACACCAAAACCATAAGAAAAATTGGGTATAATTGCTACTTTGCAGTGTTACCATGGAAACAAAGTACCACTGCTTAAAAGTGAATTATTTTTCGCTGCATTAAGAATTAAATTGCCATTTAATCAAGAAACAAATTAAAGGACTCAGCTTGAATAGTACTTATCTGTTAGAACTGAAGTTGAATATCATATATTGATAAAATTTGATGAAGAAAACAACACTGTTACTATGGTTACCAAGAAGGGAAAATGTTCGATTTTGTATACTTTATATCAATATTAAACCCTGTGTGCCAGCTTCTTGCATCCACTTAGAGATTGGATGATAGTCAAAATTAAAAGTCAGGTTAGCTGTTAATAAATATCAATCATAAAAGTTTTGGGAATCTACATTTAAGGGTACGTATCCAAGGAAAGAAAATATTTTTCAGGTTTTTAAGCATATATTTTCTGCTTATTTCCATAGCAACGCTCTATTTACAGAATCTAATCTGAATTTTTTCAAATTGGAAAAAAAGTAGCACACCAACATCTTTAAAAATTGATCATTAGTTATGAGGAAATGTGCTTTTTTAAAAGGTAGGATCAGATTTAAACATACAGAGTGTTACTTTGAAGGCTCTCTGTGGTATAAAAACCTTGGCAACCACTGCCAACCAAAATGAAATATCATATTTTGTTCTTGGTATATATTTCAAGGCTCTTTTTTCTATTATTTAGTCACATTTTATCCTATAATTGCTTTTCATTTTTACGTGTATGACTTTATAAAATTCAATGAATTTTTTTTTTACTTTTGAATACTTTGTTACCATAGTAACGTATGTAATCTTTGATTTACCAAACATGTTTATCATGTATTTGAGACATCTGACCTTCAACTTTTGGAAACAGTCATTGCCAATTGTTTGCTTTGCCGCAAATGTTAACTATTGGGCTCTAAACATGTTAGAAAATGCCATTTTTCGAACTTTAAGACATGTTGCCATGGTAACTATAAAACATAGCAACCAATTTTTGCCCGATTTCAGTTTAGGGTATCAATGACTTTTATCATAGAGAGTTTGGAGAAATTCGGAGACTATGCGTGCCACAGCTCCTATATAAAATTTCAAATCATTACAGAGAATGGCTCTTAAATACATGTAATATAATATACAATATATTACAATAATACAAAAAATACTATATTTGTATTTCATTCACTTTTATAATATAAATGACTATTTTTGAAATTTTACATATTATATATGTATCTCAGTTATTTAATAAAATATTTTCATAGTTTTGTAATTTTTTTACCATTTGACGTTTCTGCTTTTCTTCCTGTGCTTTTAACAGGTCCAAGATAACCTTTTCATATTCTTTCAATACACTGTTGGTCTCCAGTTTAATTCCAGCTCTAACAATCATTAAGTACAGAAATCAACCTTTTCTTCTAAAATTCATTTTGTAAGAAACCCTTTCAATCAAATTATTTGCCATTGCAATGTGGTTTCATAGCAGAAGTATTTGTCTAAAAGTTGTAAGTATATATACTGATTTATCTTATCTCATTAAGAAAGCTTTCAATTTCCCTTGTACATTGTGAGAAAAAGGATACATTGTTACAGCAAATGAATGAAATCTTCCTACGTCATGGTAACTTGCATCTAAAATAAAGTAAATAATAATGAAATCATTTATTCTTCAGTCAATAGGAGGACCATCAGGAGTTCCAACATGTGGGAGGATAAAAAAAATCTCTTCAAGCAAAAGTCAAATAGTTAATAACATACTGAGAAAACATCCAAAAATTCTTAATCTTAACTGGGAGAATGTGTTTTGAGGACAATCAAAATTAAGAGGGCTGAACATATTCTAGCCAAATACTGCAATTCACTTTTGATTTACTAAAACTTATTTTTGTGTCATTTAAGTTGATGAAAATGATGAGGAAGAGAATTGTTATTTTGACTGACTAATCTGATAAAGTCTCATGTACCATGCAGAAACAGGTATAAAATACTATGAAATGTAGCTTCTGAAACACAAATGTGTGACAAACAGGAAAAAAAAGAAATAAACGGACAAACCCAATGATACAAATGTATGTAATACCACTTAAATCAGCCAGTTTCTCCCGTAGTTTTCCACATTGGTCTTCCTCTTGTTTCAGCTGTGCCTCCAGTTGTGCGTTTTCTGTCTGAAGACTGTCCAAAGTCTTAGCCAGAGGAAAGCTCTTGTATTTAGCCTCGTAGTCACTCCATATGTTCTTGTAATGCTCAAGGATTTGGAATCTCTCTTTACTATAAAAACAGCAATTTAAATTATCTATTATGTTGCAATTCTCTATTAAACTTTGGTTTCTTATTTTTATATTTAAAATCTCCAAGAACATTTTATTGATTAACATTTTTTCAAATTCTTATATAATAATTATCATTATTACATCTTTTGAATTATTTGAATTATTAATATTTGATGTACAATTCACATGAATCATAATACATTTGCCTCTATTTACCTCTCACTTTCTCCTAATTCAAACAGGGCAACATTTTTCTTCTGTAGGGCCTCCTCATGCTCCTTTAAGACAACAGCTGTTTTCTTCAAACTGTCAAAATTAAGCTAAACTCAAAGACACACTCAAAGATTTTATATTGCACAATATCTGAAAAAAAAACATCTTAAAATTTTTGGTGGAATTTTAAAGAAATACTAGAAGAAAGTTGAGAACTTTAAATTTTATCCCAAGTGCTCAAAATTTAGGAAATGTGTTTCTGCAATGTTTTTTTTTTTTTTTTTTTTTTTGGGGGGGGGGGTATTATTAACCACATGTTTTTAAATCAAGGTTTATTTTTATATTTTGTTTGGCTATTATTTCACAATAAAATCATAATTTGTAATCCAATTTTTCCAGACATAATTCAAATCTTACTTTTCTACATTTTCTCTATTAATAGTAAATTGTTTGTGAGCCCTCTTTGTTTCTTCGTCAAAGTTTGATATTTGCTCTTGCAGTCTAGTAATGGTATCCTTTTTATCCAGTAAATCTTTTTCCAAAGCTAGAGAAAAAATGTCTTTATTACATGGTAAAACAATAAAAATGTTTTTTTTTTAAAAATATTATACTTTGCTGTATGCTTCAAATATATTTAATTAACGAGATATTTGTCAGGATAATACCATTAATCTGTTGATTCTCAGCTTCTATCAGCTTCACATATTGCTGGTTTTCAAATTCTGAAAAAATAATAGGTACAGTTGAACTTCCATATCTTGAACATCACTATATCAAATTTCTTAGAACTAGAAGTTCGGTTTACATCCCAAACATTTCTTTTAGATTCTTCATGCATTATTACCTACCAGTAATTATCTTGCACCCTTGATATTTGATACCTCAAGTTTTTTTCTCTCTCAGACCCATCATATTTAACATTAGAGGGTTTCATTGTACTATGTTCTATATTCTATTCTTATTCATAAAACTGATCAGTCATCAGTGTTAACTGATGTAAACACGGTGAGGAAGTATGAGCAAACGCCAATCGGTCATTGGATCAGATATGAAAAATATACCCACCAAAGCTCTGGATCAGCTTATCCAATTCCGATGCATTCCCTGTCAGATGTAATGTATTCGCCATTTATTCCACGATATGACTACAATCAACAAAGAAAGTTTTGAGATGGTTAACTCTCCACATTGTAAAGGCAAATGAAAGATTACTTATTGCACATCTGTTTCAAAAGTTAATTTTTACAATAAAAAATACTGTTATTCAAATAGTAACGCTGAAAGGAATCCGCTGGTCTTAATTCATGTTTGGCGCTGTTGACAACTTGAACGCGCCGCCATATTACCGTCTGCTCTGCCTGTTCCGCGATTTCGTAGTTTTTATTTTTTGATTTGTCCTATATGTCAGACCTTCATACACTTGTAAAAAATAAATAATAAATAAAGTTTTAGAAAAGTGGAATTGTTACTGTCCGAATAAGAAAGAAAGATATACAATATCGATTTTAATGACATCAGATCGGCTTTGGTCTTTCAACTTTTTCGTTTTGTGATATTTCTTTCCAAAAGTGCAGGTAACTTCCGGTTGCAGACGACAAGTGCGAGTGAGTAATGTAGGTAGGGCAATTTTTGGGGGAAAATGGTGACAAGTCAAATATTCACAGCAACAACAGATGGAAATATTTCCTTTCTATCGACATTAAATCCTGAACAACTCACAGACAAGATCGTTGACGATAAAGGGGCCAATTGCTGCCATTATGCATCAAGGGCGGGTAGGGTAGATGTCATCGAGTATCTTGTTCAAAACAGGCACTTCAACCACCACAAGCGGTCCATGGTCGGCTCTACTCCAGCGCATGATGCTGCAGCCTCAGGGAAACTAGCCACTGTACAATGGTTACTGAAACAAGCCAAACCTCCCTTAACTCCAGATGATCAAGATGGCACTGGAGCAACTGTACTGCATTTGGCAGCTAGATATGGACATGCTTCACTTGTAGAATGGATTCTTGATAATACTCAGGGTGATTTAGCCATGATAAAAGCAGCAAGTGGTGCTCTGCCTCTTCATTTTGCTGCTTCTGGTGGAAGTGTGGACACTGTTCAAATTCTATTACAGGATTCACCTAGGTGTGTGTGCTATATATTAAATGATCCCTTTTGATTTCTTTAATGAACACATGTATCAGACATAATAAATATTGAATAAAATTTAATTAGCATACTTGTCAAAGGCGGATCCAGAGCCGTCAGCTTGATGCTTGAACAATATCCGCTCACTATGAAGTGTGTTGCCACACATATTCAGTTTTACAAGGGCGCACAGATTGTCAGAATCAAGTATGCAATGTACAAGACTTTTCATGTATAGGTTTTAAGAGAAGACAATTTATTCCTTTGAATTCTCTGCAAGAACTAAATTTCGGACAGATATCTCTTGACTACCAAGTTCAAAAGACAAGAAAGGTTAATATCCCTCTATGGCCCCTGGTTTGAGATGTCTCTAAAATAACCGGTATGCTGTTGACTGAAAAGGGCAGCGTGCGAAACTTACTTTACAATATGCCAGACATGCAGGGCTGACTGCTAGTTAAATGTACCAGGCTTGCCAATAATCATTTAGCATGAGAAAATATTTGTTATATTTTTATAAATTCCTTTTAGCAATGATCTGAAAGGGGTCAGATCACCAATCTCAAACTTATAAGCTGACAAATTCTACGTGTTTGCTTGTTACACTTTCATGTGACTTTGTCATCGATATTGTTAGTTGATTTGAGTGAGATTTATCAAATATCAGAATTTTGATTGATGAAAATTTTTCACGCATCTATCTGAACCTTGAAACATGCAACAATTTAAAACCCACAACAAAATTTGTGCATCTCTGGCGGTCAGGCGCATGGTTATTTCAAATACTGAAACAGGGAAAATGAATATGCATGGTTTAATTGTTATGAGTCAGTTGTTTAAAAGTTTTCTGAGAATTTTCTAGGCCTGGTGTTACTACATGTATAATGATCGTGATTTTGACTTTAACAATAAAATTTACTCATGTGAAAAAAAAAATGTCGTGCTATTTTATTACAGATCTGTGAACATGCAAATGACAAATGGAGCAACCCCGATATATATTGCTGCACAGAGTGGGCATTTAGAGGTCCTTAAACTACTGGTTCAGAAAGGTGGCACTGTTAAAATTCACGCATACGATGGCATGTCATGTTTACACGCTGCATCCCAGAGTGGGCATCTGGATTGTGTAAAATTCTTGGTAAGTCAATGTATTAATTAGTAACTAATTAATAACCCTATTCTGAAAAAGACCTCAAACTTGATGTATTAGTCCCCTACAGCTGAAACTGGATGGAACTAGGTTTCCTCATTTGTCCATCTGTCTGTCTGTCCAGCTCTCATTCTACTCTAGCCATCCCTTCGTCTATCTGCCAGTTTGTCCCCTATTTTTGTGCACTTTTTATCTAAACACTTGTAAAAAAAAAAAAAAAAAATTAAGTGTATCTTGATTATGTTGATGAGTTATAGATTAATTTTGATTTTTATTCCACATCTATGATTTCTGTAGGAATTATGAGTCCTGAAACATTTCTTGTTCGTTTGAGTAATGAGGGGATTTTTAAAAAAA